AGGCACTATTGTGATAAATATATAGATATGTGCATGTTTATACATATATGTAAAAATGATGAAAGTCTGATCAAGGGTGTTGTGTAACAGCAGAGTGGTATAGAAATCCCTCAGCCAGTGCTGAGCTGACATGGCAAATTTCCACAGCACAACCAGTCACCTGTGGGATGCTCTGGTGTGAGCTGGCTTGGTCTGAAGGCTATGGAAAGTCAAGAAATGAGTTCCTTTACTCCCTTGCAACTGGGTATACTTTTGGCTAAACTTTTTCCACAGCAGAGCTAGCTGAAGAGGAACAAAACAGGGTTGTGATGTAGGTATTCTTGATGACCTTGCACAACTGTTACGTGCAGGGGAGTAAGGAGCAGGAGAGAGGTCATGGTAAGACCCACTGACCTGGAGTGCTTTACCATAGTAGAGAGCATTCTGCAGTGATACTTTAAATAGCATCTGTTCTTTTGCACATAGCCCCAAATGGTCTAGGTCAGTAGGAACTTACTCTCATGAGACCTCAGCAACAGATTGTCATCTGCCTAAATTGTCCTTGAAGACTTCAAGTTAAGGGAAGCCTAGTCTTTTTATAGATGAGTGTAGTGTTTGGTCATCAGGCATCAATGGCATCATATCAGATGGAGTATTTGGTATTAATCAAGGAGGCAGACACTGAAGTATATATCCTAGATATTTGATTGCATAGAGGAGTTATCTTTAATCATTGGGTAGAGTCATATGATGGAACATGATCCAGTCACCACGGCTTAGCAGGGTACCACCCATCTGTTTAAATGTTAATAAGGGTGACTCATGGTGTTAGCACGACCATGCAGAGGAAGAAGAGCCAACATAGTCAGTTGCAGCAGCTTGGCAAACGTGGTATTTTACTAAGCCACCGTAATGCTGACTATCCAGGCCACGTATGCCCAAGGAGACAGCATACAGATGCTGGCTGAGACCCCATCATGTTCAACAGCAGGCTTCTGCTGGAACACAATAAAAATTTCTAAATTCTGGAAAAATTTCATGGGTAGACAGATTTTCAGTAAGGTTGAGCATCTACCAGTTCTCTATCTTACATGTCCTTTATCTGTGGGCTGTTTGCCCAACAGCCCTATTTATTTAGCAACACAGGTGCCAAGGAATGAAAATCTCCCAGTCAGCAATATTGACTGACAGGCTGCAGGCAGTACATCCTCAGCATTCACAGAGAAGCAGATTCAATATGTCCACCAAAAAAAAAACAATTCTAAACTCTCACTGATTTTCTTTGCTGCCAGATAGAAAGCAACAACAAAAGAAATTGTGTTGTCCTTGGAAGAGATGTCTTAGACAAACTGAGTATCTCAGTCTGTACAGTTCTGTGCCATACACATTCCCTGAGCTCTGTGAGAGGGAGTGTGCAGGAGCACGTGCTAAATCCACAAGCTGTAGTAAGTGTAGGAGCAATGGAGGTATCCATGAGTACTGGCCAATATCAGTTTCCCTGATACGGGAGCGGGGGATCCAGAGTGCATTATGTGGAACTTTTATCGATGGCAGGAGCACTACAGGCTTTTCCACAAAGAGGCTCAACCTTGAAGTGCAAGTCTTCTCTGACTGCTCTGAAACTTTTTTAAAAAGCAGACTTCGGAACAGACTAGCAGCAGTGTAGTAAGAAAAAATACCTGAAGAATTGAAGATTTTTTTTCTTCTAGCTAAGTATGTGCTTTCCCCTAAAATGAATCAGTGTTAAAGGTAAAACTGGGGACAGCAAGGAAGCTTCTTTGCCATTTTAATAAATACCAATAATTCCCTTTTGCCCATGACCCATATTCCCAAACTCATTAAAGCAATTTTGGAATTTTTTTTTGGCTTTGGAACATATAAGCAAAACCCAAACCATGCAGTCCCTTGAGAATCACTTGCACAAATTGTATAAGTCAGGCCAAAATAAGTTTCTGTCAAACAGCCTAACACCTAAACTTATTAGGAAACTGGTGAATTGTACAAAGGGTCTGTATGTAGGCACTCTCAGAATGAATAGAAGGGTGTGGGGGGGGCTCTTTTCATGGTGCTTGTTGACCCCACTAAAAACTCAAGCAGTATTTTTATTGAATGTGTTGCTCTGGCCAGTACAGTTCCCATAGATTCTGTTCCCTAGATCTAAGTTCCCATGCATTTAAGCTGGTGGGCAGAGTGGGCTGCAGAGTGGGCAGGTGGGTGCACACCTCAGTCTCATTCCAGGCCAGGCAGGAGAGTGCACCAGTGCTTTCTCCTTTCTTGCCCACTCCTCCCACCCACTGTCTAGGAGGGAACCCCATGGGGCGTCCCCAGCTGGGGTTTCAGCACACTCTGTTCTGCCCCTCAAATGCCCCAACATGGGGCTCCAGCCTTTCTGTCTGGCACATGGACTTTAAAGCATGAGGTAGAGAAGACGCATTTGAATTGTTGTAATCTGCTCTGCAGGGCAGTTGTTCTCGTGAATACGGGCCAGTGGGAAGTGGACCCTGCTTGTAGGGGTCACCACAGCCTCTAAAAACCAAACTAATATTTCCTCCTCACATTCAACCCAATATCTCCTCATTTTTCACTTTTCAAAAGAGCATTGAATCTATTTTTCATGATATTTTGACCCTGTGCTATTGATTTGTCAAGTCGTCATGTGTGAATGAGTGCTGGTACGTGGAGCAGCTGAGTTTAAGTGGGCAGTAGAATGGGTCAGGGTCTGTGTACTTTGAGTATATTTTCCAAGCTCATTTTTCCTGCACTTCATCCATTCCATTTATGCCATCTCTACGGCACCCCAGGCTCAGCCCATGTGCTGAGCCGACAGTAGAGCTGCATATCTCAGAAATTCACTCATGCTCCCTCACAGAACTGACTGCACTCTCTCACAGGATTACACCACACATTTGGAAAATGTTGTCTTGAGATTTTTTTAAGGTGATATGAAGATGTAAGTACATCACATTCCTCCATCAGCAGATAACAAGGGAAGGATAGGAAGAACTCCTTGTCTGTATCTGAGATACATTTGTTGTTATTTTTGGGCTTCTTTCTTCCCCTTCTGAATAAGTACTGTATGTGTCTGGGAGGATTTTTAAAACATCCTTCAAAACACAGGCTTTTTCTCTCCACAGAGAACCAAGACAAAAGGATGGGTTCAGTTGTGTGCAGCTGCTAAAAGAGGGCAGCTGAGGGCAGAAGGGTGGGAGGAGCAGAGTGTCTTAGCATGAGGGAATTGTCAGGGCAAGGATTTTGAGGTGGCATTTGTTGGGATAGAGATGTTTCTAGGGAAACAGGGTTGAAGACATGAGTGTTGAAGGACTGCAAGTCCAAGGATGGGAAATACTTGGGAGTTTCAAAGAAAAGGGGATTAGGTGATTTGAAATCTTGACAAAAGAGAAGGAGACTTGTATGTCAGAAGAAGGTGGTTTTACCATCAGACAGGCATCTACACTTTGGGACCCTGGGTGTGGTGTCCTCCAAACTGGATATCTGTGAATCCCATCACTCATAGCCTTTGAGCTTTTTGCACAATATTTGATAGCTGGAAGTGACAGCTAAAGTTAGAGGAGGCTTGTATGTGTTAATAGCTGCCAGTACGACTTGCATTTGGAGGGGCAAAACCCATCATTTGGTGTGACACAGTTCAGACCAAGCAGGATAGTCTTACCTCTTGCTCCTCTAGGGTTATGACTCAGCTTCCCCTGACCAGGTCAGCCCAATTTTGAGGCTTTTATGGCTAGTTGTGGATTGATCAGGGTAGCAAAGGATGCTTCTGCCAAGGCTTTAAATAACTGTGATGTTTAGAGGCTCAGACTTTTGCCATGATAGCTCCTGCAGACGCTCTTTAAACTCCCAGATTATGCACCCTCTTCTCCAGTTTGTCTCATACCTTTAGGGGCAATTCTCCGTCCCAATAAACAATCTAAACCATGTGTTATACAGAAAAGCATTCTGTTCTCTGAGAACTTAACACACCTTCTTGTACTGTCGATGTTTGTTGAGACACTGTATGTGAGAACTTTATTTTCAAGGTTTTTGAGAGCTTGAAAAGGTAGCAAATTACACTCACCCAAAACTTCAAGCAACTCACATTTTTTCTTCAAAACTAGAAAAAAAACCAAAACCTCCAAACAACAAAAAACTGTTAACATAATTCCCAAGGTCACATTCTTAAAGGCTTTTTTTGAAAGTATAGTCCCAGCATTTTTTAATCCATTAATTTTATGATTCTCCTTTGTGAGTGGGTATGCTTTCTCACATGCAGCTTTCCCTGTGCTTAAAAATATCCTTCTAAATCTTTTGAACGCCTTTTGCCAAAATATTTCACTCTGCTTTTCTGTAGTCTATGTGTTTTGCTTTCATAAACTGCTTAATCTGAATGTAATTTTCCTAATTTTATTTCTACTTTTTTTTTCTTTTCCATTTTTTGTGTCCTGATGGTGTGCTAAGTGGTAAAATTAGTGATATTGTTTTGGAACAAAGGCTTGGTTGATTTTCACAGGAGAGATAATCAAGAGTGATTTGAAATGCTCATTTTAGAGCAACATATTTACAGGTGATACAATTTCAAAATTAATTTAAGAGTGGTTAATTTTCTGTCATAGTCTGTAAAACAATCATCCAGATATTTTTGTTTCTGAGGGCTAAACTTACAGCAGTGCACTAATGCCAGCAGATTTTTCTGGTTTGTCTGTGGAAAATCTTTTTTGTACCATCTTTTGCTAGCTGTTATGCTGTGCAGAGGTGCTTAGACTGAGACCAGCTGATAGGTTTACATTCATATTATATCAGATGAACTATGCAGGAGCTTTAACTGATAAAGAGAATAAGGAAGGTGATTCATCCTCTTCTTGAAAACTTTATGTTCCACTGATTTATGCAGGAAAGGACAAATCCTGGATTGGTTTATCTGTGCCTGCTTGTCTGGAGCTGCCTGTGCCTACCAATGGCTGGCAGACTAAGGCTTGTTTTGGTCTTCACAGCCCATGAGAACTTTCTTTTCTTTTCCTTTCTTCTAGGCCTGTCCCAGGTTCTCTGTCTTCACTACTGCACCTACACAACCGACAAAGACAGCCTATGCCTGCCTCTATGCCCGGCACCCTGCCCAACCCTACCATGCCAGGATCTTCTGCTGTACTCATGCCTGTAAGTTTTCTTATTTGGCTTTTTTTTGCAGGGTGGAAAGTTGTGTTATGTTTGAGTCAATCTAAGCAGAGGTGAAAGCCTTCCTGGGTTTTGTAAATGGAAGGAAGCTGGACCTTCTTTGGTGCTTCACCTTAGACTAGAGTATTTCTGATTAAGTTAATGGGATGCTAATTAGTGTGAGAGTGATTAGAAGCAGTTTACACGAGACTATAATTTGTAATTCTCATACTTGTTCATGTAGGTGAGATCAGTATGTCTGTATTGGAACAAAAAGATTTTTCTGAATTCAGAAAAAAACTGAAAAAGTAATGTACATAAATGATGGCCAGTGAACTCTAAGTGATCCTCTTGTGTGGGAGATAACCACTCAGCAAGAAAGAAAGGCAATTTACTTTTCTGGCTTGTTAACTTGCACTTATTGAGAACTAGGTAACAATTGCTGCTCATCTTTCATCATTTCTGGAGGGATAGGAATATTTCCCATCTTATAGAAGCCAAAGGGTGGCTTTACAACTGTAACTTCAAATTTTAAATTATTTTAACCTTTTAACCCTTTCAATAGAAGACATTTGGGTACGTTAGGGTTGGAGAAAAGCAAGGATGACATGGGGAAGAGGGGATGGAAAAATGAGAAGTTTTTGCTACATTTCACTGTGTTCAGTTTGCAAGACAAACCTGAGAGCAATTGACCAGGGAGAAATGCACTGCTTGTTCTGGCTTTGCTGGATCAAGGGGAGCACTCCACAGAGATACAAAGATTCAGGTTTGGCTGCTGTTTGAGCAAGCATGAATAAGTTATTAATTATTAACTTGTCAATAAGGCTCTCCTGGAATATCGATCAGGAAGTTTAACAAAAAAAAAAAACAACAAACAACCAAAAAACATAAGATGCCATCGTGGGAAGATTTTTTATGGCATGATTCCCAAGGAACCCAAATGCAGCAAACATCCAGCAGCAGTTAAGTTCAGTGGCTTCAGTCTGCTGCCAGGGAGCCCTTTGGGCATCTTTACTTGCAGGCAGGCAGGTGTGCCCTGGCTGCGAGCCCTGGAGGGATGAGCGTGTCAGCACTGGCTGCTCCTCCTGCCCCACAGCACTCCTGAAGGGGCTGCAGGGGAGATGGCAGTGGGAGCTGCTCCTACCCCATGGAGAAATGAAAAGAAGGCTTTGGTAGCTTTTCTCTGCCAGGGGACAGCGGTGTATTCGCATTTCCCCAAAGCCCAGCACCCATTCTTCCAGGCATCATGGAGGGTGGGAGACAACGCTTCACCACAGGGCACAAAAAAATAGTTCCCCTGCTTAGATGGCTCAGAAGGACCCCAAAGTGTCTTTTTTGTAAGAGCCAAAGATTCAGCAGACTGGCTCAAAGCAAGGTGGGATGCTCATCTCTGTCTGGAAGCAGCGCCATAACCCTGTTTTACCAGCCTTTATTCCTCTGCCTTAATGGGGAATACCCTCCAGGAGAGGTTTTACTGCCATTAGGTTTTATTTGTGTCACTCCCTCCCAGCCTAGTGAGACTAGCTTGCAGAAAGGGCTCTGAACAGCCAGGAGAAGTTTTGCTTTGTTTTTTGTTATCTCAGCAGAGCATGAAAGCTTCCCTTACAAGACATGTGGAAAACTCTTCCCAGCTGAGCAGTCTGAGTGAAGGAAAAAGAGCCAACTTATTTTCCATATGCTTGAGATTGTAGATTTTTATTTATGCTTTTAACAAGCGAAGTTGGGCTGCACTGGGAGGGGAAGCTACAATTTTATACAGTGATGCTTTTAAAACCACTTAACTTTGAGTGTTGTTATACTGAAAGGGAGAAAATCATTACAAAAAAGCACAAACCTGGGTGGCTGCTACATTTGTTTATTAAAGAAACCCTTTCTTTATAATTGGCTGTGAGTTTTCAAGGCCGATTCTGATGAAACACACGCCTACGTGCATACACATATGCAATTCATGACACAGATTGTTATTTTCCCAGTCATGACTTGAAGAAATAAAGCTGAGTCCATTTAAATAGAAACTGAGAGTAAATTCTTGCAAATGTCTCCAGATGTTTTCAAAGCTTTTTTTTTTAATTTCTTTTAAAAGATGGAGCGACAAATGTCAATGAACTCCAACATCATGGGGATGCAAGGGCCGAACCTCAATAATCCATGTGCCTCACCTCAAGTTCCCCCAATGCATTCAGAAGCCAAAATGGTAAAAAGAGAATTTTTTTGAAATTACTGTATTTTCTCATATTGCTGTTGCATACCAGTTACCCAGACAGTGGAGGGGGGAGAGATGTAGCCAGACACTGCTTACTTCATTCTTAGTCATACGTTATACTCTTTTTTTAATATGCTGTAGTAAATTGCCTTTGTGCCTATGAATTTTCAAGTTGTTCTTAGTCCTAACTGAACTCTTGGTGAGGGGGAACTGAAGGGTGAACTATCTGATCCATACTGTGCTAAATAGGATTTTTGGTGCAGATCCATAGAATTTAAGCAAATGGTCTGGTTGTTTCTCTAATGGCATCTGTGTTCCACAACTTGAAAGAAAATTGTCGGTTAATAAAGAGTGGAGTATAAAGTGTGTGCTGCAGAGGGAGTGTACGTAGTCCTTATTTTTTCCAGATAGGAGCGTAGTGTGTCAGAGAAGCATACCAAATAATATCTGTATCTATCTATCTCTTTCTCTCTATCTCTATCTCTCTCTATCTCTATCTCTATCTCTATCTCTGTCTCTGTCTCTGTCTCTGTCTCTGTCTCTGTCTCTATCTCCATCTCTATCTCTCTATAAATGGGATATTTTCTTTTTCTGGAATGCAACAGAGGTGTTCCCATCAAAAAGAAGTGTCAGAATTTGAACAAATGTAATTTATTTATACAACTCAAATGTCATAACAAAAAAACAAAATTTTTTTTTAAAGTTGTTCTACATCTTAAAAGATCAAGGCTTCTCAGGCATGTGTCCTGATATAGGATTAATGTGGTTAAACTAAACTAGAGGTGGACATATGTAAGTTTTCCCCAGCTTTATATGCACTTTTGTGGAGGTATTTGGAATTAAATCCTTAGAATTAAGTTATCAGTGTAGAAATGCTTTTCTTTTTAAGTTGCAGGACTGCCATTTGCTGCTGTCTAATGGAAATTGAAGACAGAAGTTTTTAGTTTTAACTCTGTAGCGTTTTTATCCTCTCGAGATATCTCATCATAGTGAAAAACAGGAGTAACTTCATTGAACTTCTTTCAGTGGCATTTTGCCAAGGTAAAATTGTCGCAAGTGAGAGAAAGAAATCAAGCCAAAAAAGATTAAGCAACCACATATTTTTATATATTTCTACTTTGCATGACTGGTGCAGCTTTTAAAGTTGTTGTCATCCATCCTGAGGCAAAGAAAAATATCTGCTTGTCTATGGGTATGGTGCATATAAGAGACTCTGGGTTAAAAGCAAAAACACATATGAGTTTATTCTATCTCTGTTTTCTTAGGTTGGATAGGTCATGCCTTTGCCTCACTGTTGGTCTGGGTTAGGCTGTTAACCCAACCTCTGTTAACACTCTTTCTAAAACCACATTCTGTAAACATGCAGCCATTTGGCCAGAAGAAGAATGATAGCCAAAAATTGCTGGCTCCCCCAGCCAAGGAAAACCTGTGGTCGAGAGTTCTCTCTGCTGCACCACACAGTGACGGTGACATGCCAAATGGCAACAGCATCTGCAGCAGAGCTTGTTAAAAACTTTTTGGAATAGGCAAGTGTTTTTTCAATGCAAGTGTAGCTGAGCCAAGCTAAATAATCCTTGGCTGAATAAATCCAAAACTGGCATCTGTTTTGGGGACTAAAGGTTCTGTAGTTTACTCTCTCCTCACACCCCCTGCCTCTTTTTTACTGGTATTGTGAGGCTACTCAAGAATAAGATTAAATTATTGGTGCATATGGTGAAAATTCTGTGCTTTAATAACTGAAACTGCATATTAATACAAATTACCTTTTAATCTGTGTAAGCAGGTTTTGTCCCTAAATCTAATGTATGAAGGCATTTTAATGTATGAAGAAATTGCTATCAGTTCCAAAATGTGGTGTAGTGAACAAGCAGAGCCTTTACTTCTGCCACTCTTCCAAGAGTAGAAAAAAATCTGCACACATTAACTCTTTAGAGGCATAACTCAGAGTTCCAGAACTTTTCCTATTTTCAAATGCAGGTTTGGGGTTTTAAAAATATTTTATATTTCTATATTCTAATTCTATATTTTGTTTCTGTATGAGCACACAGGCAATGTAAAAAGCCTCTCAATTTAGACACTGCTTTAAGGAATATGAATCTATTAACAATACTCTGCCTGAATACAAAGTAGGAAATATTCAGTGCAGAATTTTTTCTTACATGCAAATTCATGAATTTTTAATCAGAATAATCTGTGTTACAGGGATTAACTATTTCACTTTTCCTCATACTTAAAGCATGATACTTCACAAACTCTGGTGACTTAGTTAAAAGTGAGGGTGCTTAGTACCTTATCAGACTGTGTCCTGCATTAGGAAAGAATTTCAGATTTCCCTGGATTCTGCTTATGCTATTACTGCTGGTGCATTCAGCATTGCTTATGCTCTCTTTGCTGGCCTACCCTGAGAAGAATGGATGTGTCCAACACCAGACAGAATCATCTAAGATGCTTGTAGCTAATGACTGAAGTAACAGGAGAAGTCCAGGGGACTTTGGGCCTGATTCATCAGGTGCCCGAATCCACAGGGGTATCAGCACTTTTGGGAAGCCTATGTGACAGAATGCAGGACAAACTCCTCTAAATGTGAGACCCAGATGTGAGACCAGATCCTTCTGGCCTCATGGCAGTATGTACCTGAGCACTGCAAGCACAGTTTGGCATGCAGCAGTCGTAACACTGTTTGGTGACACGTGACTTAATTTGTGTCTGTATTTGCATGTGGATAAATAATATCAGTAGAGATGCTGTGTGATGCCTGGTTTTTAAAAGAAAGCTGATAGATGGCAAAAGATTCGCACCCTTAATTGGTTTATAGTGGGAAATGGAAGCCAGTCTGATAGATATGGAAGCCTTTGTCTGATATACAAGCAGATCTACACACAAATATAGAATATGTGTGGCATTAATGTAATGTTTCTACAATAAGCAATACATATTTTAATCACCTTCTATCACCTGGCATTTATGGAAAGCCACATTCTGCCACCCAAGATACTTGCTTCCTGGTTTAATTTTTTTCAGGACAACATTCCATCAAGTATTAAGGTATTGTAGGTGACATCTCAGAACTGATTTAATTTATCACAGCAATCTCAGTTTCCCTCACAGTATGCCTCTCAATTAGGTTATCACCTAATGCTTTAAAACTGTCCTAGTAAATGAATGAGTGAACATCTAAATCAATACTGCTTTCTTAGATTCACAGCTGAGTGGGTAAAACTCTTATGCTGCCCACCAAAAACGCACGTAGATTTTATATTAAAGTATATTGCACTGGAAAGAGGAGGAAACATATAGCTCTTTAGTGTACATGGTAAAAATATGCAGAGTCACATGTGTAGCATATTAATATGTGGTTCAGTAGGCTGAAAGTATTATGAAGTTGGAACTGTTGGTGGTGCCTTTGCCTGAATATACTGCCTGCATACAGCTTGGTTTTGCACTTTCAGAGTACTGGAGGTTTTAGAACTCGGAAGTGCAATACTGTGTGGATTACTGGAGTGAAAGATAAATAGTGTGCACTGAACCACTGAGAGCCTGGGTGACAGCAGGTCTTTTCCATGGAGCTGATTCCTTCCTATCTGAATTTTGCTAGGCCTTGATCTTTATCTGCAGAAATTTATGGCTTCTGAAAGAAGGTTTAAAAAGCAGACTGGCAATGAAAAAATTGAACTTAAAAATATTAATTTTTTCTTTTACAATTTCTGTCTGCCACTTGCTTGATATGTAGTTTTATAAAATTTAAATTAAATGTTACATGTGTAACTTGGCTGTGTCTGTAATCCTGACAGAATGTGTATGGTTCTTTAGAAAAGAAAAGAAAAAAAAAATTTCTGTAACAGAAGTACATAGGACCGTGGGCTGTTGTTTTTGACTTCTAAGCATTACTGAACACACACACACACACACACACACAAAAAAAAAAAAAAAAAAGAATTAAAAAAAAAAGAAAAAAAATTTTTTGACAATATCTGTCAGGTGAAAGAGTAAAAACGTAACCAGAAAAGAAAAGTAATAAATTGGTAGAGTGCATATTCCTAATTATAATATTAAAATAACTGAACCTCCCAATATACCTAAGAATGCTGGACATCTTTGTCAGAGGAGGAGAGAAGTTACAGTGTCACCAGCACTAATTTTTATTCAATTTAATTAGAGGTAAGAGTCTAGATCCTACTGGTGGCTGTGTAAATCCCAGTGCAAGCATCACTCAGCTCTCCGTCCCAGAAGAAAGGCCAGGCTGTCTGCAGAGACCTGGCTGCATTCTGTATGGCTCTAAGACAAGCACATCTCCTATCTCAGGAACACAACATGCCAGTCAAATGGGAAAGGCTCAGCCACAAGGGTCGAGGGCTTCCATCAGACACAGATTACTGTCTGAGTTTGGATGGAGCCTTCTGCTGCTCCTTGTTTTACAAATAACTTGTGTTTCTGTGCCCGTGAGCTGTGATGGTGCAGCCGGTGGAAAGCGAGAAGCAGCCAGAGGAAGCTCTCACCCCTGCCCTGCTTTGGTGCTCAGTTCATCCATTGCAGCAGCCCTTGCATGTGGAAGCAAAGAGTGCAGCCCAAACAGCCGTGGCTGGGATAGCTGGTGGCCCTGGGAAGGACATCCCTCTGGATTCCTGAGCCCAGGTTTGCAAGGCTTCATGGTGATTTCGAGCAAGGGGCTGACATAGGCAGTCCAAGCAAGACCAGAGCCACTGAAACTCTAGGTTTAGATTCTTCCCACTTTTTGACTGAAGATACTTTGTTGAAAAAAATGAATGGTTTGAAGTCTATGTTAGTAGAACAGCACATACTGCTTCAGGGCCAGAAGGCTTTTCTTTGCATGGATTCTGGACTGCTGAGAAGAAAGAAAAATGTTGCATCTCTGCAGAGCTTTCAACAGCAATTGCTCACCTTGTACTTCACAATAAAGCAATGAAAGAAGCATAGGAGAAAAAAAATGTGCAAAGCAACATCTTCCAAATAAAAAAAATAGAGTCATGATG